CAGCTCAAAAGCATAAGCGAGTAGATAAATTGGTACTCTCACCCCGGTGGGAGGAAAAACGCTGGCGGTGCCTTGCACGGGAAAACGGGAATCGGTTGCCAGTTGCTGGACGCAATGCAATGGAAGAGAGTCTATTTCCTGCGACCACCAGGCTCCGCCCTAGGAAGGAGGCAATGGCAAACCACTTCTGAAAAAACCTTGCCAGGAAAACTGCAGGGACTCATCCAGGCAGTCTCCGTAGAATCAGTCATGATTGAAAGTGGATCATCATCATCATCATCATCAATTAAAGAAGTGGTTTATAGTTGGCCCCTCTTATTTCTCAACTTGATCACCAAGAATGTTTTTGGCCCACTCGAGTGACAACACTCACTTCCTTTGTATCTCCCCTTTAGGTTGAATTTGAGCTTGTTATCTGATTCCACTACCATTAGAGGAATAGCAGACTTCTGATCCGCCTATCTAGATCAGCTTATGACTAGTATTCATGTCAATAATCAGAGTTACTGTAATACTAAGATTTACTTTATGCCACAAGTTTGAAAATATTTGATAGGTGCTCAGTTGGACAGCTTGTCAGGTTATGACTTTGGACCAACTTTTGAAGAAGAACTATCTAGGCATTACAAGAGGAAGTTGGTTGACCAGCACAAACTCTTCCCTTATATCCACTTTTGGCTCATCTCCTCAACAGAACCTGCACTTTCAAGAGCTCCTGGAACGTGACTGGGCCCTCCAACATAGGAACCCTATTATATTAATGGTTTATGGACATATTTTGATTAATACTTCTCTGAGGAGTGTAATGGGAAACTGAAATGCTTCATTCCACCTAAGCAGCAGCTACAGCACTGTCATGATTCAACCTTTCCTTAACTTAAGGATGTGTCTCATTTAACAGCTCATGGTCCATTTCTGGGGTATTATATAGGTTGGCCAAACCAACAAAACCTTCAGTGCTGCTGTTCCTACTGTTTATCATTTGGGTTCCTGCAAACTGAGCTGAACGTGCTCCTCATTCTCACCCACCTCTCAAAAGTGAATATGACATGTCTGTCCCTATCTACCTATCCATCAGATACCCAAGCTCACATGAGGATATAGACTTTACTGAGAGCAGAATGTGGGGAAATAGATGGGCTGTGGAGAAAAGTATAGAGCAGACCTTGAGACAGAGAATGCAGCTGAGTCAAACAGTTTAGCGTGATCATGTCGACAATTCATCTTATCATAGAATCATAAAATAATAGAGTTGGAAGGGATGTCAGAGGTCATCTAATCCAATCTCTGATTGATACAAGATCAGCCACAGCATTTCAGACAAACGGCTGTCAATTTCTAGTGAAGGGGAACATGCTACTTGCCAGATTCTACTTTTAGGCGATTCCTATCTAACATGAATCTAATTCCCTGTAGTTTTAGCCAGTTGGTTCTCATCCTGCACTCCAGAGCAACAGAGAACATACTCCCTCCCTCTTCTATGTTGTAACCTTGAAGACAGCTATCATTGCTCCCTTCAGCTGTCTCTTCTGCAGGCTAAACATACCCAATTCCTTTCACTGTTTCTCATGGGGCTTGGTTTCCACCACCCCCCTCACCATTTTGTTAGTCCTCCTTGGAACTCACTGCAGTTTATCAATGTCCTTTTAGTCTTAAGACACAGTATACCAAGCAGGGCCAGACAAAGGCAGTGTGCCTTGGTTATGACTGACCAAATCCTGCCTGTTTTCATCAAATTATTCTGGTCTGAGGCATTACTAAGCTGTTCTTTAAACACAGTTTGGCTGCTCTACCTAGTTGCATATTAATGCATACAGGACTGTGGATGTAATTCAGGGAAATGCCATTCACCAGTGCATAGAGTTGTGACAGGAATTTGAAAGGTCATGCTTGACCATTTATTTAAATGTGCATTTTAACACAGAGAGACCCTACAAGGGTCTTTGAGAACCCTACAAGTCTTCAGCTTCAATCCATGTTAACTTTGTTTCCACTTATCTCACTTTTCCACACATTCCAAAATGGCACAGATACCTACTAATCAGACTGTGCAGTCATTCTAAAGCACATGGCAAAGGCTGATGAGTCAGATTAAGCTGTCCCTTCTGGACCACTACCTTCCATTTTCTATGAACTCTACTTACAAAATTATAGAACAGACACAGACTATATATTCGGAGATTCCTTGGGTATATTGATCAGATCTCAGAAAAATCTATAAATTCTCACACTTTAGTTCAAGGGTCTGCTAATTGGCTTTAAGTGCACAGGATGCTGACTCAATTTTTATTTTCTTGTTCTTTGTCCCATGTGTGTGTCACTTTATTCCTTCTTCTATTCTGCCTACATATTTTTGACTTATATTTTAGCTGTTTGTACCATATACTTCTTTGTTGCACTTAACCAATGCTGTCCCTTCTTGTTACTTGGCCATTCTACATGTTTTCTGGTATCCCTGCAAAATATGTTTAGAAATTACAAAGTTCTGGCATAAGATCATGATATTGTTCAAGATGGTATAAAACTCAGGTTCACTTCTTAGGTGGGGTTTGTTTCCTCTGGCCTGGGTACCTTGACATTCTCTCTCTGCATATTGTCTCTAATAGGTGAATGTAAATATTATTTGAGTAGAGTATAAGAGCTTAGCATAAGTCTTAATGTTAATCAGTATAGTCTTAATAAAAAGGATTTGTATTATCTAGGTCTATATGCCTTATTGGGAATGCTTGGTGGTAGCAAACACATCCAGTGCTCATGTTGTAAGGCTGGGGTCTCTGGCCAAAGACTGATTGTCTTAACTGCTGGGCAGTTAGCAAGAAAATTTCCTGCAAGAGCACAAGGATATAAGGAAACACGTCTTTAAAGTACTGCATAGAAAACCTGCAATAGCCCAATTGAATTAGTTGATTTTTTTTCTACCCTAAAATAAAATAAAATAAATAAAATAAAATAAAATAAAATAAAATA